TCTTCTTCTCTTTTTAATATAACTTATTAAGTGATCACCCCAATAAATCTAGTACCCACCCATCACCATACATAGTTATTACAATATTATTGACTATATCGGCTATGCTGTACTTTACATCCCCCTGACTTTTCTGTAACTATCAGTTTTTACTTCTTGATCCCTTCACCTTCTTCACCCAGCTCCCCAGCCTCCTCCCATCTGACAATTGTCAGAATGTTCTGTTTCTGTTCTGCTTGTTTGTTTACTTTATTTTTTAGATTCCACACATAAGTGAAATCATATAGTATTTGTCTTCCTCTGTTTGACTTACTTCACTCAGCACAATACCCTCTGTGTCCATCCATGTTGTCATAGACGGCAAGATTTCATGCTTTTTTATGGCGAGGTATTGCATTATATATGTGTACTTCTGTACCCATTCATCTATTGGTGGACACTTAGGTTGCTTTCATATTGGGCTAAATAATGCTGCAGTGAACATATGGGTGCATATGTCTTTTTTATTTATTGTTTTGGGCTTCTTCAGATAAATATCCAGACGTGGAATTGCTGGATCCTTCTTTTTCTCTTGTTATATAGCCTGTGTTTTGTTTTTTTACAAGTCAGTGGTTTTTTAATTGAATTTATTGGAGTAATAAAATTCATTGGTTAATAAAATTATATAGATTTCAGGTATATAATTCTAGAATACATCATCTGTATATTGTATTGCGTGTTTACCACCCCAAGTCTAGTCTCATTCCATCACCATTTATCCCCTCTTTACCTTCTTGTACCTCCTCCCAACCCCTTTCCCTCTGGCAATCACCATACTATTGTCTGTGATAAAGTCTGTTTTGTCTGGTGTATTTATTGTTACCCCAGCTTTTTGTTTGTTTGTTTCTATTTTCATGAAATACCTTTTTTCCATCCCTTTACTTTCTATCTGAATTGAGTCTCTAGTAGACAGCATATGTAAGGGTCTTGTGTTGTTACTTACCCATTCATCCTCCATATATCTTTTTATTGGAGCATTTAAAGTAATTATTGACTGCCCGGCCAGTATGGCTCAGCGGTTGAGTGCCAACCAAGGAACCAAGAAATCACTGGTTCAATTCCTGGTTAGGGCACGTGCCCAAGTTGCTAGATCAGTGATGTTCCTCTGTCATCGATATTTCTATCTCTCTATCCTTCTCCCTTCCTCTCTCTCTAAAAATCAATAAAAGATGTTTAAAAAATAAAATAGAAATAAAGCCCTCGCTGGTTTGGCTCAGTGGAGAGAGCGCCAGCCTGCAGACTGAAGGGTCTCAGGTTCAGTTGGGGTCAAGGGCACATACTTAGGTTGCAGGCTCAGTCCCTGGCTCTGGTCAGGGCCCATACGGGAGGCAACCAATCACTGTGTGTCTCTCATATCAATGTTTCTTTCTTGTGTGTCTCTCCCCTTCCCTTCCACTCTCTCTCTAAAAATCAATGGAAAAATATCCTTGGGTGAGAATTAACAAAAATATATACAGATAAATAAATAAATAAAGTAATTACTGACAGATATGTAGTTACTACATTTTATTATTGATCTTTTAAATCTTCTTAAAGAAAACCCTTTAACATTTTTTGTAATACTGGTTTGGTAGTGATGAATTCTTTTAGCTTCTGCTTATCTGGGAAGCTCTTTATCTTTATGTTTTATGATAGCTTTGCTGGGTGGAGTAATCTTGGTTTTAGATCCTTGCTTTTCATCACTTTAAATATTTCTTACCAAACCCTTCTAGCCTGCAAAGTTTCTGTTGAGAAATCAGCCATAATCTTTTGGGAGTTCCCTTGTAAGTAACTAAGTGTTTTTCTCTTGCTGCTTTTAAGATTCTCTTTTTGTCTTTAACCTTTGGCATTTTAATAATGATAAGTCTTGGTGTGGGCTGCTTTGGATTCATCTTATATGGGACCCTCTTGTGCTTCCTGGACTTTCATGTCTGTTTCCTTCACCAGGTTAGGGAAGTTTTCCATCAGTTTCTTTAAAATATATTTTTATTGATTTTAGAGAGGAAGGGATAGGGAGAGATAGAAACATCTATCTGATGTATTATTTTATTTTAGGATTTTGGTATTGTCTGCCCTTTCCCACTAAAAAGTAACTTCCACGAGAGTAAGAACATTTCTGTCTCCCTGGCACCTGAGACATAGTGGCACACAGCAGTTTTCTAGGGAATTGAACTGATTTGAATCTTGGGCTTTTCAAGCACTGCCTTCCCCCTTTCTTGCCTCAGTTCCTGGACTTGGGCGATCTATAGGATTTCTGCCCAAAATGGCTCGCCTGCGGGTGGTCCACAGGTTTCTGTGGTACCTGATCTACGGGCACCCTGCCGGCGACACGGAAGAGAACATGGTGGGCGACCAGTGGCAGTGGTGGCAAGGCGCTGAGGGAGCATGGGAAGGAAGAGGCGGGGAGGCGGGGGGAACTGCATAGTGGTAGCGTGTGGGCGGCAAGGGAAGGAGGAGGTGGGGAAACTGATAGGCCCTGGTTGCTGGCCAGGCCTAGGGACCTTACCCATGCATGAATTTCATGCACTGGGCCTCTAGTCAATGATAAGACAGAATCATTGATTAGCTGCCTCCTGCATGCCCCCTACTGGGGATTGAGCCCACAACCCAGGCATGTGCCCCTGACCAAAATAAAACTTGGGACCCTTCAGTCCGCAGGCCAACGCTCTATCCACTGAGCCAAACTGGCTAGGGCTCCATCATTTTTTTACATAGGTTTTCAATTCCTTGCTCTCTCTCACTCTTCTCCTTCTGGCACTCCCATGATGCGAATGTTGATACGCTTGAAATTGCCCCAGAGGCTCCTTAAACTATCCTCATTTTTGTGGATTCTCTTTTTCCTTTTTTTCTTTTTTTAATCTTTACTGGAGGATGTTTTTCCATTGATTTTTAGAGAGAGGGAAAGACAGAGAGAAATATCAATGTGCTAGAAACTCATGGATCGGTTGCCTCCTGTACGCGCCCCAACCAGGGCCCAGACCAGGGAGGAGCCTGCAACCGAGGTATGTGCCCTTGACCTGAATCTAACCCAGGACTGTCTGGTCCACAGTCTGTTGCTCTAACCACTGAGCAAAACCAGCTAGGGCTATGGATTCTTTTTCATTTTGCTGTTCTGATTGGGTGTTTTCTGCTTCCTTATCTTCAATATCTCTGTTTCATCTATTCCACTGTTGATTCTCTGTAATTATATTCTTGCTTTTACTTAAAATATTCTTCATTTCTGGCTGGTTCCTTTTTATATTTTCTGTCTTTGTTTTTATGTTTCCTGTCTTTTTGTTGATGTTCTCACTAAGTTCCTTATGCATCCTTATAACCAGTGTTTTGAACTCTGTGTCTAATAGACTGCTTGTCTCCGTTAGTTTAGTTTTTTTTCTGGAGTTTAGTTCTCTTCTTTCATTTGGGATATGTTTCTTTGTTTCCTTATTTGGCTGCCTCCCTGTGTTTGTTTATCTGTATTAGGTAGAGCTGCTACATCTCCCAGGCTTGGTAAAGTGGCCTTGTGTAGTAGGTATCCTGTAGAATCCAGTGGCACAGCCTCCCCCCAACCCTGATCACCCGAGCTGGGCACATCACATGCGCCCCCCATGTGGGCTGTGTGCACCTTCCTGTGGAAGCTATGTTTGCTGTTGGCACCCCAATAGGAGGGAATTACCCCCAGGCCAATGGCTGTGAGGATGAGCTGTGACCACCCTGGAGGATCAGCTGTGCAGGAGCCAATCCCACAGAGCAGGACTTACTTCAGCAGGGCTCTGGTGCCTGCCAAGTCTGCCCCTTGAGTGTGTCTCTTGGGAAGGTAGTTGGGTGGTGTTTGGACATGGTCTGAAGCTGTCCATGGGGTGCACTGGCCCTGGGTCCTCCTGGAAGATTCAGGCCAAGGTCAGCTGCTACCTGTGCCCTGCCCAGGATATACCCCCACCCTCCACCCCATGAGCTACAAAGCATTTTTCAGATGGCTGCTGCTTGTGCTGGGCTTGGAGATGCCCAGGAGAGGCCAAGCTGCACACCAAGGCTGGCTGCACTAGTGACAGGCCTGGGGCCACTTAGCGAGAGGTACAGGCATGCAGCATGCTGAGGCCAAATGCTACTTGTTTAGAGATTTTAGGAAAGTGTAGTGTGAGCCAAGATGGGCCATTCATATGGAAAAGCCACTGGAAACAGTTTGGGTGGGCCCACAAGTTGGATGAGGCTGGGTCTCAGGGAATCACCAGAGCAGGATGAACAGTGTTAGCCAGGTTGATGGAAACTCAAATATGGAGCCCAGCCTGCTGGCTCTGTGGGACAGAGAGCTCAGTGAAGGAACAGTGGCCTCTGCCAGCACTTCTGCCTGGCAGAAAGGTGCCCTTGCAGTTCTGACCTTGATGCCAGTCAATTCAATTCCTCCCTGTATATCCCTGGTGCCTTTCCACCTATTGCTCCAGTGCTGGAGCTTAGAGCACATGAGTCCAAGTAAGTCTGTGTGGGCCCTTTAAGTGGAACTGCCTGGGACTCCAGCAGCCCTCTGTCTCACTTAGCCACAGTCCCCGCTGGATTTTACAGCCAGAAGTATGGGGACTTCTTTCCTGATACTGGAACCCTAGGCTGGAGGGGCATGGGGTGGGGCTGGGACCCTCACTCCTCAAACCTCCACAGCTGAGATATCCCTCCCTACCACACATGGGTGTGAGGCCAGCTGTTCTACATCTCCGCCCTTCCTATCAGTCTCAGTGTGGCTTCTTCTTTATATCCTTAGTTGTAGGGCTTCTGTTCAGCTAGATTTCAGGTGGTTCTGAATGGTGGTTATTTTTTTTGTAGTTTAATTGTAATTTTGATGTGCTTGTGAGAGTTTCCAAGTACTGCATTTACCTGTGCTGCCATCTTCATCTGTTTTTAAAATATAAATGAGTATATTCCCATGTCATCCCCTGGAAATATTTTAGCAATTTGATTGCCCATCAGCAGTATATGAGGGCAGTGTGGCAGATGGGCTGGAAAGTAGGGGTAACATGATTGAAAGCAGAGATGTGGGAGGTTTGGGGGAGGCAAGAAGGAGGAGGCACCATCACCATAGGGCTGATGGGCAGGTTGAGAGAGGCTGCAGACCAGAAAATAGTGGTGTGTTTTGCCCAGCTGGTGTTGCTCAGTGTTTGAACATCGAGCCATGCACCAAGAGGTTGCTGGTTCGATTCCCAGTCAGGACACATGCCCGGGTTGCGGCTCAATCCCCAGTGTGGGGCATGCAGGAGGCAGCCAATCAATATTTTCTCTCATCGATGTTTCTATCTTTCTCTCCCTTCCCCTTCCTTTCTCTCTAAAATTAATTTTTAAAAGATTAAAGAAAATAGTGGTAAATGTTTTTTCACAATTCTAGCAATTCACTCTGGTCTTGAGATTGAACTGAACCCTAAATCACCTTGTAGGTGGACAACCTGGATGAATTTCTGAATGACCCTCTGAAGCAGCACACGCTGATCCGCTTTCTCCCCAGGCCCATCCGGCAGCAGCTCCTGTACAAGAGGTGAGTCCCCAGAACTGACGTAGAGTGGCCGAGGGTCCCTGCACTCCCCTTGAAGTTAGGGTCTGACTCCTCATTAACCAGGAAGAGGAAAGGTGTCTGCCTCGCTGGTTGTAAAGATTCGAGGTTTTCATTAATTCAGCCACCTGTGAGCCTTCTAAAGCCCGGGCAAATGAAATGTGGGCTGGTAAATTTCATACTTGATTTCAAGGTTCTTTTAAAGCAGCAGTTCTCAACCTGTGGGTCGTGACCCCTTTGGGGGTCGAACGACCCTTTCACAGGGGTCACCTAAGACCATCAGAAAACACATATATAATTACATATTGTTTTTGTGATTAATCACTATGCTTTAATTATGTTCAATTTGTAACAATGAAAATACATCCTGCATATCAGATATTTACATTACGATTCATAACAGTAGCAAAATTACAGTTATGAAGTAGCAACGAAAATAATTTTATGGTTGGGGGTCACCACAACATGAGGAACTATATTAAAGGGTTGCAGCATTAGGAAGGTTGAGAACCACTGTTTTAAAGTAAATTCTGCTGATAAAGTCTGCAAGCCTTAATGTGGTTTTGTCCTTGTGTTACTTTTACTTTCTAACCCAAAACCCCAGTTAGAATTGATGCTCCATTGCCCTTGTTGGGTGTGGGAAGGGCAGTTCTGGGCTCCAGTGCTGTGCAGGCCCAAGGCCAGTCCTCCAGGTCCCACCAGGTAGAAGAGGAGAGTAAGTGAGGTGCACTCCTCGCCCCAGATGCAGACCCCCTGACCACAGTCAGCGTGTGGTGTGACTGGATCCTGCTCCTCCCCTCTGTTTTCCAGGCGATACATTTTTTCAGTGTTGGAGAACCTGCAGAGGCTGTGCTACATGGGGCTGCTGCAGTTTGGTCCCACAGAAAAGTTTCAGGATAAAGATCAGGTAATATCTGTCAAGCCCAAATTGAAGTGGTCCTGACCTTTAAGCACAGTTCCAGGCGGCTAACCTGAGGCTGATTCTGAGGTCTCTCCCGCCCCGTCCCTGCCTGCCTTGCAGATCTTCATTTTCCTGAAGAAGAATGCGGCTATCGTTGACACCACCATCTGCGACCCACATTACCACCTCGCCCACAGCAGCCGGCCCTTTGAGAGGCGTCTTTATGTCCTGAATTCAATGCAGGATGTGGAAAACTACTGGTTTGACCTGCAGTGCGTCTGCCTCAACACCCCTCTAGGTACCATCTGTCTTTGCTGGTCCTCACTGTTTCCCCCCCTTTCTGTGGAACAACTGGAATTAGAGCTGGAGAGGACGAGATGATGCCTCGTGGTTTTCAGGCTCCCGGAGGCCTAGCGTGTCCTTGGGGCTCCCTTAGAAAGAAAGCCCAAGCAGCTCCACTTGGTCTTCATTTATGTGTTCATTCAGCAGGTGTTTATGAGCACCTCAGCCTGCATTTCCTGTGCCTGACCACAAGCAGTGAAAACACACCTCGTCCCTGCCTTCCTGCGACTTCATTCTTGGGGAGAAGGCATACACACACACGCGCACACACACACACACACACACCGAGGAAATAAACAGGGCGATGAGCTGAGGGCACTTGAATGAATGGTCAGAGGCAACCTTTCTGAGGAGGAGACATTTGAGGCTGAGCCAGCCGTGTCCAGAACTGGGGAAGAACATTCCAGGCACGGGGAGCAGCAAGTGCAAAGGCCCCAAGTGTGGTTGGAGAAACAGAAAAGGCCGGCATGGTGGGAAGGAGAGTGGCAGCTGAGATTGGGAAGTGGGCAGGAGGCAGACGCTGGGGCCGTGCAGGACACGGTGGTTTGGATGTGTTCTAAAAGCCCAGGAAGATGGTGGTGGTTGTAATCAAGGAGTAACAATATCACTATGCCTTTCAGTGCTTGCCCTGGAGAACAGACGGGGACAGGAGTAGGAGAAAGGCCAGTTGGGGGTGTGACTCGTGCCCCAGAGAGATGCACACTGTGACGGTGATGGAGGGACAGATGGGGAAGGCTGGGAGGAAGAACTGTCAGACTTGCCGGTGGGCGAGTCGGGCTTTGGGTGGGGCCTTTGCTCGCATTGTTTGCCTCTCCAGAATGTCCCCAAGCCCCTGCTCACCTCACAGGTGGCCTCTCCTATTTCACGTGTCTCCTCTTCGAGAAAGCCTTCCCAGCACCTTCACTGTCATCGTCTTATTTCATTCTGTGTGCACAGGACATTGGCTTGCATCCCCTGGTGTCTCAAAGTGCCGGGTACACAGTGACTCCCATAAATGTTTGTCGAGTGACTGAGGGTTTGTGGGAGCTATAGAGCCTCCCTCCAGCCCAGCGTGCTTTCCTTGAAGCCAGTTTTCAGCTGGTCTTTTCTTGCCAGTTCTACCAGGAGAAAAAGGATGGGCATCGGATTTGCACCCGGGAGAGACATCTGATCCTCCTCCTCCTGTCACAGAGCTGCAGATCAGTGTTACATGCTGGTTTTTGCACAGCAAGGATTACATACTTGTTCCGTGGAATTGTTCAGGGTCAACAGCGTAATGAGCACTTGTATTTAGAGCCTTTAATGGGTCCAGACAAATTTTAGGACAGTGTGTGTCACAGACTCCTCTGGCATTCACTATTGAGCTAGGCTTTTACCATTTCAGATTTTAGGTTATCTAATTCCCCTGCATTTTATCCCCAGATGAAAACTTGTGAGCCAGTGTGTTATTTGCACCAAAGATTTTCAGGCTTAACAGTTGGTGAATTTCCATCCATCCCTTTTAGTGTTTGGGAGCAGACATGTGGGAGGCTTATTGAATCCATTAATCAGACCTTGATTGTCCCGTCATTTAGCGAACATGTGAGGGGTTCCCCAAGGATGAGGGGAAAGCACCATCTAAAAGATGTGAGCATCCTTTAGAGCAGGGGCTCCGGACACAAGTGTGCGCAGCAGCACCTGGGAGCCTGAAGTGCAGGTTCCTGGGCCCCGTGCAGAGGTTTGGACTCGGCAGACCTGGGCTGGCCTAAACCTGCATTCCTACCAGCAGCTGTGCTGCACAGAAGCGTCACCTTAAGTCCCCTTAGGTTCAACTGTCCAGTCAAATGCATGACCTTGGACAAGCTCTTTGTAACCTCCTGGCTTTAGGGGACTGTGTTTCACAGTGTCTCCATTTCTAAACTGGGAATACCACCACCACCTTATGGGCAGAGGCAAAGCTTCACCCAGAGGTCTCTGTAAACTTGGCTGGGGGGGGACGGGGGGGCATGGCCTCTCCCCACAGCTCCTCCCCCACCCCACCAAGTCTCCAGATGAGCATGTTATAGAGGGTCTTCGATAGTCTGCAAATTATCATCACCTTCCCTTGCCCTATTCAAGCAGCAGTTTTAGCAATAATTTATGTTTTCTTAGGAGAAATGCGATCTTCTTTATTGTGGAATAACTGAACGTAATCGCTCCACTGAATGAGTGCCCCTCTTGGGCACTCGGGAAACAAGTGGCTGCTCCTGGCTGCTCTCGGGGAAACTGATGCCGCATCAGCTATCTGCCCCATCCCTGCTGCCCCGACCCCTGCAGCCACAGCCCAGTGCGGTCATTTCCATTTACTGCCTCCTCTGCCGCACACAGCATGCCCACGGGGCCCCCAGGATGGAAGGCATATGGTTCCTCTGCTCATAACTCCCCGAGCCTACTGTGTTCTTTGGTTGCCTACTTGCCCACCCACCTTAATGGCGTTCAGTCAGAGTACAGCCCTTTTCTCAGTCCCCCCTCAGTGTCTAACTCTTCCTCCAGCGCGCTCCGGCACCTGTTACAAGGCATTTTGTGCAAAGAGGTTCTACCAGTCTCATACCTTCTCCTCTGTTTGGGGGACCCTGGTCACAGAAAGGGAATCCATTCTTCTCTGGCCCCCCAGCCCCACAGCAGGAGGGCGCTCAGTGGGGCTTGTTTGGTTTTCCAGGTGTGGTGCGCCACCCGCGTAACAGGAAGGACAGCAACCCAGAGGACAGCAACCCGGATCAGGGTGGTGATGACAAGGACAGTCTGCAGAAGGAGCAGAAGGAGCAGGAGAGCGCCATCCACAAGCACAACCTGGAGCGCAAGTGCGCCATGATGGAGTACTCCACGTAAGTCCCTGTCCCTTGACACGCTGTCCCCATGTGCAGGGTCATGGCGAGGCTCATCCCGCAGGCTCTGGCTCCCTGTGGGCTTCAGCTGTCATACCAGGAGTGCCTGAGTCATCAGTGCGGCAGCTGCAGATTGGTGGCCACCAGCCATATCTGGTCCCGGCCATACTCTAGTTAGCCCAGACATTGTTTAAAAAAACAAACATAAATGAGTCAATAGCCAAAAATTCAAAATTTGGGAATTTTACCTAAAATTTGGGGGTTTTGACAAATTCTTCAGTTCTGTCAGGTGTTTTTCTGTCAGGGGAGGTAAAAGCTAGTTGTGGGAAATGCCCTCACCTGCTCCTCGGACTCTCCAGTTCTGAGGAGCACTCTTTCTCTCTATTTCCCGCCTCAGGGGCAGCCGTGAGGTGGTGGATGAAGGTTTGATCCCCGGGGATGGGCTGGGAGCCGCTGGGCTCGATTCCAGTTTCTATGGACACCTAAAGCGCAACTGGATCTGGACCAGCTATATCATCAACAAGGCCAAAAAGGTGGGCTTTAGAGGTGTGGGTGCGCACATCCCGGCCACCACCCCCGGGGCTGCCAGCACCACACATCCTCTTGTCCCTTTCCCAGCTCACAGTTCCTGAATTGGTAAAACCAGAAGTGACCAGAGACACAAATATTTACTTCCATGTGTATCAATAGCCTGGACTGTTTTCCTTCTCAGCTGATTCTAACTTAGTCTGTGATGTGGACAGGTGTTCCTTTTTAAAGGAGGAACAGAAAGTCTGTGAGACAAAACTCATACAAGAAGGGCGCGTGTGCAGTTAGAAAGTAGCTGGACAGGAGATCCATGTCCTGCAGCAACCCTGCCAGCCTCCCGGCAGGCACTGCACAGCTGTCCTCAGCTTCTCTGTCACACTCACACTCCTTGCTTTTGTGGCTCTGGGCTCCTGGGGTTCATGAAACCGCATGCTTCATTCCAGTGCCGCACTTGCCTTGTAGGAGAACGCCGCTGCAGAGAATGGGCTCACGGTGAGGCTCCAGTCTTTTCTGACCAAGCGCACGTTGCCCCTTGGTGCTGGAGGTACGTGTGCGCCAGTTCCGCCCAGAACAGACATGGTACTAGCTCAGGGCCAGCATGGCCGCCGCACGTTTGATTTGGCTTCTGGCTTTGCCGAGCTCATCTTGAAATGCTCATCTCCTGTGATTACTTCTAGGCAATGGCAGGTTGGATATCTGGGGAGAAGCCAGAGCAGGGTCCGAGCTCTGTGTTGACCAGGATGAGCAGTTTGAGATTGACCAAGAGCCCACGCTGGACAGGAATCAGAGAGTGAGGGGTGGCAAGAACCAGAAGCGGAAACGGCTGAAGAAGGACCCTGGAAAGAAGATGAAGAGAAAGAAGAAAGGTTATATGATGATCATTTATGTTTGCCAGGCCTTGTTTTTGCACACTCAGGCTCAGAGACGTGCAGCGGGCTGGTGCCGCTGGGCCCGAGCTCTGCCCTCAGACTTGGGTTTCCGTTTGCCCTCCATTTACAGTGCTCACTCTGTGGTTGCCCTATTTTCCAAATCCAGCTGCCAGACAGAGATCCTGGAGTTTCCTTCATGCTGCCCCCTGCTTTCTCTGTGTTGTATGAGCCTTTTCACTAGTGACTGGTTCAGTAAAACTTCTGACTTCATCTCAACCGAAAAAACCTTAGCAAAAGTCCGTAGCAAAATCTTCATCATAACCAGCTAAAATCCTATTATTCTTTTGGCTTACTTTTAATATCTGCATTTCTGCTAATCAGGCCAAAGCTTAAGGCTTGTATATTTAAATTAGAGGAAAGATGGGTCCTGGAAGCCTGCAGTCTCTTCGGAGCTCCGGAAGCTCTGTGTGGTACCCTTTGCCCGCACTTTGGCTTCTTCATCTGGGCAGTGTTTACAGGGAAGGAGGGCAGTGAGGAGAAGGGTCTGTCGTTATGTCACCCAAGTGGCTGTGTGTTTTGGTGATGGTCTGATAACTAGCAATTTCAGATGAAAACAGTGTTGAAACAGGAGCCTGCTTTCGGTGGCTTATTTGGCCGGTGTTTATAACAAACAGCCTGTATCAGTTGAAATGGCCGCTCAGTGTAGCCCATCCAGATATGTGTCAGATCAGCTTGATTCACAAAGACCTGAATTCATTACAAGGCAAAATACAGTGTGGTATTGCTTTGAACCCAAATTTTCCCACCCTGCTTTTCTTCTGCCTTAATTTGGAAGATCACTAAACAGTCCTTTGGAATTGGCAGTAGCACATGGCAGATACTGTCATTAGTATCTCCCCCAAGAGGAGGAGACCTTGGAAAAGCCAGTGGGTGCGAGCTCAAGTTCAAATCCTCGGTCTGCTACTTAGTTGTGTGACTTTGGGCAAGTCGCTATGTCAGATTCCTCCACTACAGACCCAGGATAATAACTATATCTTTCTCATAGGGTTGTTGCAAAGTATTGTAAGTTCATATATGTAAAAAGCTTAAATCAGTGTTTGGCACATAGTAAATATTCCATCCTGTTAGCACTGTTATCCTTTATTAGCTCCATTGTGCCAGGTGCAACACTAGATGTTTCCGTCTTGTTCAGTCCTCAAGGCAGCCCTGTAGGGTGGGCCTTGTCCCCACGGTGCACCAGAGTTCGCACATCTCTGAGGTCACAGAGCAGCGGAATGGTGGGGTTCCACTCATTTGCCAGGCGTGCCCTGAGAATGCTCCACAGGCTTCTGTGGAGGTGCCTTAAAGGGCTTAGCTCCACAGTAAGGCGGCTTGGAGACTGGCAGACAACTAACAGGAGGCTGCATTCAGGCTGCCCAGCCCATCCGTGAAATTCCACCAAAGAGAAATGGTGAAAAATCTGTCGGGAGGGGCTGCGTCTTTTGTGGTTAGTTATACAGCTTCTGGGCCCAGTGAGACTCTGATAACTGAAACCCTTGGTCAAGTCTTGCTAGCTGGGCAGAGACCTTCCCCTCTCCAGAGTGACAGCTCCCCACCAGTTGTTCTAGGCTCACTCCCTTCTCCCCTTGTGTTCTTAGAAGAAGTCCAGGAAGAAAAAAGCAAAAGTCTGCGTTACCATGATGAGGCCGACCAGAGCGCCCTGAAGAGGATGACCCGGCTGCGTGTCGTGTGGTCCATGCAGGAAGACGGGCTGCTCATGCTCTGCCGAATTGCCAGCAACATCCTCAACACCAAGGTACTCGGCCACCGTCCCCACCGTCCCCCGCTCCTCCCAGCCTCCCGCCAGCCGATCTGCTTGTCCCTTTCAGGGAGCTCTTTCCTGTGCGACCCACACAGGAACTTGTGGCCCATGGGGCCGCTCATCTCATCTATCCCAACTGGTCTCTGGGGAAAGCATTTCCCAGAATCCTACCAATTACAACCGCTCCCATTTTTGCACATTTCTTTCCAGCCTTAGGCTGCAGGCAAAGCAGACCAGAGCTGTTCTCTCTCCATCAGGAATCTAACTAACCCTTTCCCGTTCCCTCCTCCCACCCTCATATGCCTGAAAAACTGTGGTTCCTCTTTCAGTAACTGCTCCTCCTGTATGGAAAGGCTTCACTGATCCTGTCTAGTGGGAGTGATCACTGTGTTCTCCCTCTGCCCCTTGGACATACACTTTTTTTTTTAAAGTTATTTATTGATTGATTTTAGAGAGGAAAGGAGAAAGAGAAACATCGATTTGATGTTCCACCCACTTATGCATTTATTGGTTGGTTTCTTTGTGTCTCCTGACTAGAGATTGAACCCGTAATCTTGGTGTATCGGGATGATGCTCTAACCAACCGAGCCACTCAGCCAGGACATATATTTTGGACATATACTGCCTCTGTTGCCTCTGGCACTTCTTGGCCCACTGGAATGGCTGTTCCTTAAGGCAAAGAAACTTCTTATTTGTGTTCATCGCTGTAACCCCCAGCATGGTGCCTGCCACACACTGCCCATCCAGTCGGTATTTGCTGAGTAGTGTGGAATGGTGCGGCGGCCTCGCCCGACTCCAACTTTCACATGGTTCACTCCTCTGCCTTCCGCACCACAGTCCCCACACTCATGTGTCCTCCCTGCCTGTGTCCCTGAATTCCCGATGGGTGAGGAGGCACCTGCTCCCTGTCTAGCAAACTCTCCCTCTTTCCTCTGATGTCACTGCCTCCAAGAAGGTTCCACAACCCAAACCAGAGTCCATCTCCTCGCCATGCTCCCCAGAGCAGTCTCACCACTCATGCTGTCTGGTCCCACTTTGCAGCAAGGCCCGGGAGAGCCGTCCAGGTGGGCGAGTGTCCCATCAGGCCGGGTCACAGAAGCCACCAGGAGAGTGAGCTCTGCCATCGTCCAACCCAGGGGCTTTGGCAGGTGGTAACTTCCAGGGAGATGGTGAGGCAGCGTCATCAGAGCCCCATTGGCGCTTCCTGCTCTCAGCCGTGACAGCCACGAGGGGTCTACTTCGAGGTCCTGTGCCACGATGCTCTGTCCACAGGCTCGTCAGACCCCTTGCCCACCTTCCCTGACTCTCACCCTCAGCCCCTCCTAAATTCCAACCAGTCCCTTCTCTAACAAAACACCTGAAGGGGACTGTTTCTGTTCTCTGCCTCTATACTGGCTTTTTTCATCACAACATGGGCGAGCGGTGTCTCCCTCCACCCACCCTGGATGCCACGGGAGGAGCCAGGAGAGGCCTGCGCCTGAGGGGAGGCGGACCTCCACTCACTCACTTGCACTTACACCATATTCGTAGGCTATTCATTCTGGGGTCATGAGAAAATGCCTCGTCTGTCTTCAAGCTCCTTCCTCTTCTCAGCTCTGCCTTCCTGCATGACTGAGGTCCTGTGTCTGCTGACCTAGTGCATTCTGGGTCTGCTAGTGTAACAGACAGAAGGTTTTGGAGCACACAAACTCTGTAGCTAAGCCTGTGAAACCCTCTAACTAAGCACCTTTCACATATTCATAACCTCCCCTCGCGTATTGCCCTTCTAGTCAGTCCTACACCCAGCACCCTCTGAGCACCAGTCTTGTCAAAAGCACCTTCCCCACAGGACTCTGGGGCCTTATTTATTCCTCTCTGCCCAGCACCTCACTCTGCCAGGCACGTTGTTAGTGCCAAGTTAATGTGACGCGTAAACACAGGTGGCCGTGCGGAGTGCCCACTGGCGAGGGAGGCTCCACAGAACACCTTTGTCCACTGTGTGTGTCGGTGACCCAGGCGTGGGCTCCGAGGATCCTGATCTCCCGTCTGGCTCTGTGTTTGATCCAGGTGAAGGGCCCGTTCGTCCCCTGGCAGGTCGTGCGGGACATTCTGCACGCTACCTTTGAAGAGTCTTTGGATAAGACCTCTCATTCGGTTGGCCGAAGAGCTCGCTACATAGTCAGAAACCCACAAGCCTACATGAACTACAAGTAAGCCTTACTGAACGTCTTCCCTCCAGGACAATGCTCCGAATGCTTCTGGCTCACTCTGCTCCTCCCTCGTCCGTTTGCGTCAGGGTCGGGGTGGAACCCTGGGAGCACGCGGAGCTGCTCCGTACACGCCAGCATCTGCCCGTGCTGCTGCTCATTAGGGAGATCGGCCTTGATTTGTTGAGGGCTGGGCCCGATTCTAGGCACTTTCTAATGCAAAGTATTTTTTAGATGTTGGGAAAGCCTAGGGAAGGAGGTTACAGATGGAGAAACGGGGGCCAAGCAGGCTGATGACTTACTGGATACCACACACTTAGCACGTGGAGAAGGCGGGGCATCTGCCAATGTCACCACTGTTTCGAGCACTCCGGGCAGCTCCTGATCTCCCTGTTGGTCACAGACCTCACTGCGGGAGCTGGCTAGGCAGGACTAGGGTCCTCGGATCACGGACTCAGCCGTATAGTAGCAGAGCTGGGTGTTCCCTAAGGGTTTCCCAGCCAGGGCCTGGCTGTGTGGTGGTGTGAGCTGGCTGGGTCACATAGCACCCCCTTGTGGTTTGTCTTTTGCCAGCGAGGGGGCCCCTCCCCCCATCTCCTCACAGGGCCCAGACTCCTCCTCCAACTCCTCCACGGGCATGGGCTTGAGTGGGGGGCACCAGAGAGGGCATGGGCTTGAGTGGGGGGCACCAGAGAGTGTCCAGGTGTTGGGGGAGGTGCCCAGGCATAGCAGCCAGTGTGAGAGTGGGGCCAGGACGGGAAACATGGAGGGGTGGGAAGTGCCGCCTCCACCCACTGGTAGAAGAGCTTGGCTCTGGGTTGATTCTGAGCCATGGGCTGCCTGCAGTCAGTTAGGCCCAGCCCTGAATTGTGGAGGAAACGCAACTCAGCCCAAGTTTCTCAGCCTTGGCACTGGGCCATCGGGGCCAGATCACTCTTTGCCAGTGGGCTGTCCTGTGCAGTGTTGGAGGCTGAGCAGCATCCCTGCCTCTGCCCACTAGATGTCAGCACCTCCTCATGTGTCTCCAGGTGTCCCTGGGGAAC